GATGATGACAGACCCAGCAGCAATCCGAGGATGAGGGTGGTAGCTGATCTGTCCGGCGACTAGAAAACTTTCTCTCGTTTCGCTTCAAATGCCGCCAAAAGCCCACTGCTGTGGTAAGATTCTGCCAGTTTAGTTTCTCCTGCGGGAAAACAGCGATTCATCAATTTCCACAGTGCAATGTCGATGTCCACAACCAATGCGCGAATGTCTGGGCAAAATAGAGTTCGCATAGGCTTCGTATATGCAGTTGCACCAATCAACGAACGTGTTACACTTAACTTTCACAGACTTTAACACTTACCATTTCGTATGCCTAAGCGTATATGAGCAGCACGATAGTCAAATATGTCGCTCTTGAGCCAGTTAGATATGAGTTACTTCTTAACGCCATTTCCGCCTTGCATCCACGCTTGTAGCACCTCCACTTGTCACGAGATCCTGTGTAATGCAGCCTCGCGTCGTGTCCTCCTGAACATCGCACAGCTAATGGAAGAACGCCCTTTTCCTGAAGGAAAGAACTGACGTATCCTTGGTTTAAACAGCGTCGTATAGTGCGAGAAAGTTCATTTTATTTAACACCGAACTCTTTGACAACTGGTATACAACACAATACACCCATACATTCAATTACAGTACAATACATACAATACGATGGTATACAACAATACACCTTGACTCAAAACATAAGATAAATAGGACAAGAGCAGAGGCCCAGTGACCTGATCTTTGTCTTGCTCTCCGTCACCGAGCGCGGTCGAGTAAGGCGGAGGCACATTGACGGAAAAGGTCCTTAATTAAAATGGAATATATACGTTTAGATTTGTTCGACACCTTAATTTTTATTAAATATAAAAACTTTCCAGTTGACATTGATCGACCTCCGTAGTTTAAACTGATGTATTGGATCTTCTTGAGGTCATTTTACAACAAAGAAATAAAAGATGCCACCAGAGCGGATGCTATAAATATTGTTCGTAACTCTTTAGCCCAACTTAAGAACAAAAAACAGACCCAAATAGAAGTAGCACTTCAAAAAAGTAAAAAATTCTTTAGGGAACATCCAGAAATAATCTTAACCAGGGCGGATAAAGGGAATGCAAACGTGTTAATGACAAGGGAACAATATAGGCAAAAAATGAGGGAAATACTGGGTGATAAGAACAAATATGAAGTTATATTGAATGACCCCACTCCCAAACTTCAAACTACCAACAAACTGATAGATAAATTAGAAATGCAGATCTTATGTCAAAGACTAAAGGATTTAGCCTAAAAACCTACACAGCCATCCTCCCGAAGATATATGGACTTCCCAAGATCCATAAACCTAATGTGCCTTTACGCCCTATAGTCTCGTGTGAGCAATCTCCAAACTATAAACTGTCCAGATGGGTACATGATGTTCTCTCTGTACTTATTGTTAACAATAAATACAATGTAAAAAACTCGTATCAAGTTAGAGAATGAATTCACAATCTGGTCATAAATGATGATGAAATTATGGTCTCTTTTGATGTACAATCATTGTTTACGTCAGTGCCGTTGGAATTGGTGAGTTACACGGTTCAAAAGAGATGGGTTGAGATCACGGAGGACTATCCGGACCTTTCCATAGAACTGTTTATGGAAACATTGGAAAAAAAATTGTAAAATGACCTCAAGAAGATCCAATACATCAGCATAAAAACTCCTTTAAAAACGTCAGTTAACAATTTTTTAAGCGTCAGAGCACTGGGCCTTCAAAAAGCTCTTACGCGACAAGAGATTAATGAGTGGCCCCCGGAGAGTCTAAACCGCAGAATCAGGATCATCTTAAACCGACTTAGAAATGCTGCCATACGCGGTTGACACACGGACACTTTTTTTTGGACAGCCGGGCATGCTTCTTAAACTTAAAGGCTTCCTACTCACTCCTTATTATCTTAACCTGAAATCCGGCCTAACAGACCGACGCTTCAGAGTGAGATGCCTCAACGAGTTCTCGAAAGTCAGACAAAGCCGGCGTCCCACAAAGGAGCATTCTTGGTTCCTTCCTTAAATCATTTATACTGCTGCACCCTAATAACCGTCACCACCTACGTGGACGATACCGCAATTTTCCAGGTTACTTCCAACATCCAAGAACCTTGAGGTTATCGAAATTTTGTGCAAAACGGGGAGGATAAGACTGAATGAAGAAAAATATTCTCAGTGTATGTTCACTTTGAGAAAACAGTCTTCCCCTCCATTGTACCTCATGAAAAATACCAATTTCTACTCCAATTAAATACTTGGAACTATACCCATCAGTAGACTGGTGACACAGTTTATTAGTAGATGCTCTGATATCATTGCTTCCTTGCAGAATCCATACCGTGTTGGATTATAAAAATCTTTCTCAAATGTCCTACCGGCTTTTGTAAATTATAAAAGCTGGAATTGCTGGTGAACTGCGAGAAGTGAAGACTCATTTCTGTACATCTGTGTATGTACGTACATGCATGTACCGATTTGGGCTTATATAAATCCAATACAGTCCAAACAAATGTTCTATTAGACGAGACAATGAGGTCTGAGATTTGCGAGGAAGGCGATTTTTTCATAAGTTTCACCCTAGCCTCTTCAAGTCGTAAATTATTTTTTGGAAGCAACCGGTATACCGAAATAAATATACCTGAAAGTCAAAAGATTTCATCGGGTCTTAAGCGTCTGAAGCGTCACCTGGGGATCGGTTATTTTTGAAACCTTCATCACGAAATTGGAACGTTCAAAAATTCTTCGTCTCTGCTTGTTTCCATTTGAGGAATTGATCATAACCCATATACTTATTTTTCTTTAATGTTGCTGCAATTAAATGTGTATTAGTTCTTTTGCACAATGCAGGGGTACCACAAGGAAGTATCTTATGGCCCATCCTCTACACAGTATATATCTCAGACCTTCCTAATCTTCCTGAAACGATCCTTACCATGCGGATAATACTGCCATCATTTACTCTCATAAAGACCCTGTCATCTCAACGAGAAACCTGCAAACCCATCACCTTAATCAATGTTTCAAGCTGTGGAAGATGACAATAAACATACAAAAATGTGAACAGTTCATTTTCATCTTTCGGAGAACTGCTCCCATCTACTGCAATATCATCCCTCTTCCACCAACTAATGTAGCCCATTACCTCGGGCTATACATGCAGACATAGAAACGACTTACATGGAACTCACACGCGACTCAAAGACAGGAACTAAACAGAAGATTCAGATTTCTTAAAAGATTGCTGGAAACTGATCCTTTTATCTATTTTGAGACCCATTTGGACATACGGCATTTAGGGTTCAACGAAGCGTTCCAACCTCCAACATATCCAATCTTTACAATCAAAAATCCTTCGAACTTTCCATTATCAATGCAACTTTCTATGTATCCATTCTAACCATTCACAACGACTTTAATATCCAATAATTTCCTTAGTGAACAACCGCTACAAGAAGTTTCTCAAATATTTATCCAGTCACACCAACCCTCATGGTAGAAATCTTTCATCCCTGACCCTTCCAAGTAATCCTCCCCTAGGGCTGAAGCGTTACTCGCCACGCGACCTCCTAAATGATAGTGAAAGTGATAAGGCTAATATACGGGACTAATGAGTAGATAAAGTTAAAACTTGATCTCTGATTTTTGAGTTAGATCTCGTTTTTATCTAAAAGGAGCAATTTCTGCGTTGGTGTGTCTACTTCCCCAAATAGCTCTTGTTCGTTCAATCGCATAACTGGGAAAAACACCGTCATGATATTGTCATATTTAGCTGAGTAAATTTTTACAGAGTAAACACGATTTTCAATTCACTCTTAGGGGTGAAGTATCTGCTAGTACCAGCTGGAAAAAGTGATGTTTAAGGTCCGAGACGGGAGGTCTAGGAGGTAGCCGGGGGTCATTAGCGTTTTACGCTTTCGGCCCGGCTGAGCGATGGTTTTTATGAGAGATTGTCCTTTGTCATGGTGGGGTAGGCACTCTTTAATAAAGATTAATTTATAATGCGTTTTCGGACCGGCCGACAAAAAGGGTGTGAGAGAAAAACGGGTGCTCGTTTCCTCTTTTGTTTCCATGCCACCCGAGTCGACGCCAGCTTTTGCGTGTGTTCCGTCCACTCGTTCGTTTATGCTCCCTATTCGAGATCTACCGTAGAGATAGCACACTTGCCCCATTGCAAAGTAATCGCGCCTTACAATCGGTACATAATTAAAAGACAGGCCAGGGATTTCTCCGTAATTAACTCGAGGGGGACCTTGCCAACGCCAGGACCACTTCATTATTGAACTTGAAAAGGGAACCTATTGGATGCTTGAGATGATACATCTGTTCTTACTTTTAAGATACCTGTTTTTTTGCATAAGCGGATCGTAAGATATCTTACTGCACGACAACATTTATTGTATCTATTGGGTTGTCCGGAAAATAATGCAGGATTTTAAGTTTTCATTAAAAAAAATCTATATAAAATATTCTGTTTACGTTTACAGGATTACTCATTTGTATGAATGTCANATTTTGATTAAAGAACATTGCTTTAAAGTAACTAGTTTCTTTTTTTTTGTTTAATACCAAAATCCTGCATTATTTTCCGGACAACCCAATATTTCAATCTATTTCAAGTTCATCATATGACTAGACACAATTCTTATCCGGCGTTGTAGTTTGTATAAGCGTATTACTAAGGCTACAGTTGTTTCAGAACGTGGCGACGTAGTTATATAAGTTTTGAGGATTAAAGCTCGTGAAATTCGAAGGTATGCGAAGTGTCGAAGTAGATGGCCGAAGGAGGAAGTTGAAGTAAGACTTTCCTTTTCTACTGTATGGCTATAGAATCGTATAAAAATATAATCTTCTTTAGTTCAATTAATTACAGGTTATTTCCATTATACATATATTTTAATACCACCACCCAGTATTAATGTATTTTTTCATAGACATTACAATTATTCAGTAAGTTAGTTGTTTTAAATGTTGGACGTTTGTTTCAGTGAATCGGAAGCTGGTGTGATGAGAGTGAACAGTTGGCTGTATCATTACTACACTGTTCAAAGCAAGCTGCAGTACGGTTTAACATATGAACCTCATACAGCGTCGCCAGTAGCGAGGCTTGGCGGGACCACGAACTACTACCAACACCCTCATACGATGTCCCCTTACCATCAGGAAGCCCCGCCAACCCAGGTTTACCACCAGATTTCTCCGTCGCATCACCATCAACCCATACCTCAGCCTATCGGACACCCGGAGGCGTTCAGGTACGGGAGAAGGAGCGATCCCGAACCCGTCGACTACAGCGTACACAGCGATGGTGAATTAAAAGTGGAGAATTCGCCGAGCGCCTCACCCTCTTCCGAAGTGATGGTGGATCTGGACCGAGGGAGCGGAGGGACGGTCCTCCTGTCGGCGACTCAGTCGTTGGGAAGATCGCGGTTACTGGTGAAAGCCGCTACCACCTTAGACCCGGCAGAGTTGATGGAGCAGTGGAACCCTAGCCCGCCCTGGTCCGACACGACTTTGCAGAAAGTACCCGACATACTACACCAGGACTTGAGTCCGTATGTGACGACCCCTCCTACACCCGGATCGGCGGTTTCGTTACAACACCCGCCGACTCCAGCCTTCACCTTCGATTGGACGCCGGAACAGTATGTTCCTAACCTTCAACCTTGCACTGCGATTCCTATCATGGAGGAGGAACACACGTTGCTCGGATGTTGGACCGCGCAACCTGCCGATCATCGACTTTTCCCTCTCCAACCTCCCCCTCCCCCCAGGCCATCGCTCATCCTCAAGATTGACCAGGAATCAGACCATCTCCTTCAGCCTATCAAAGGTAAATATTTCCACTGACAATAATATATATTCAAGTTTATCACGTTCCCGTTGTATTCCAAAAACCACTAAAATATAAAATACATTAGATTTTTTTTTTTTTCAGATGAAAGGCAGTCGGGTGTTTAAAGTGTCAAGGAAAACGAACATTTATACAAAACAAAGAATTTCTTTAAGTGCATTGTATGATAATGAATTACGTGTAAGGGAAAGAAGACCTATTGTATGACATATTGTCAATCGTACGCTCCAGCAACTGTGATACGTTCTAATTTTCTTGAACAATTTAAATAGTAGTATACGGAAAGAATCTTGTGAATTTATGTACTCTAAGAATACCGCCGGGCGGTGCAATATCAATGAAATTGTACAAATTAAACTGTTAAAAACGATTGTTAGTATGAAACCATTTTCTCGTCAGACAATCATCTCTGTTTGTTCTGTGTTTATTGTAGTTCAACAATTGAGTGCCATCTACAAAGCCTTAATCTTTTTTAAGCATCACCAGGACCTAGATCATCAACATCACCATCATCATCATAAACCTCAGTGCCAAACAGATAACCAATAAGCCAGTTTTATTCCATTGTAGATATTTTTTAAATATATTTTCCGTATACGATTTTGTATAACGTCTTGTACGTCGAGAAAACTGTATTTTAAAGATGGTCTTCTAAAAACGTTTCAATGAAATGGACCACTTTTTTTTCAATACATCTTTAAAATACATTTTGATATAAAATTATAATATTATAGCTGTTACAAGTAGTAATTAAATTATAATGTAAATATAATTCCGTCCCAACGATTTAAATGAAATATTTATTGTTTTAATTTATATATTTTTACTGTAATTTGCCCGTGTAACGGGCCGTGAGATTCTGCTTTTCCAGTCGGTTCTGAACCGTTATTTGGGACAGACTTCGTTTTCATTCTTTTATATTCTCATTGTAATTTTGCCGATGAAATGTAAATAATAAATTGTGAATAATTTTATTAAAATTGTAAAATTGTAAAGAAATCTGTAAACAATGAAAAATCAATAGAAATTTGTTAAAGCATTAGTTTGTACAATTAAATTTGCCCCTTTATCCAACAAAACTAACTGATCGAGACATCTGATATAATTCTTATACATTCTTAAATGGAACACTTTTTAAAACAGAAAAGACAAATTTAATATTGTTCAAATCAATGTAACTGAATATTTAACGGATCGAATTACGAATTGATCGCCCTTCTGGCAATATTGAAAAATTTTACAATAAACTGAATAAATATAACTGTCAATTGAACCCCAATTTCTTTTTGCAAATACCAAAGACATTAAAGAGGGGGCCGCGGTAGTCGAGTGGTTAAGGCGTCAGACTCTCGCCTAGTAGATCCCGCGGTCGTGGGTTCGATCCCCACCGTCGCCTCTGGACTTTTTCTGACGCCTAAGGGGAAAGAAATTGACAGCACACATCAATGGAAAGAGCGGGATCAGATCTCAGCGACCCTGAATTTGGTCCCAACCTCCTTCAAAAATGAGTTTCTTCGATGGAAGAACACCGGCACACCGGCTCAAATTCACACTTGTGTTGCGAGCCCCCAAAAAATGGAGCCAGGGATAAAGTACAAGAAGTTGTACAGCTGCAGTGCTCAGGAGGGAGCTCCTCCACTTTCTGGTATCCATTGAAAAAAAAAAAGATATTGTACCGTAACTGAATTTTTCTCGCCTAGATATATCACTATGTACTTCGTTCCCCGTCGACCGATCAAGGTTGGTACCTTAATCGACTCGTCCAGGCAGCACCATTGATAACATTCTGAAGCTAGATTTAACCACGGCCATTTCCACCCTAAATGTATGCAGAAGTTACAACTGAATAATAAACTGTCACATTTTCTCATTGTGCACATGTATTTTTCACTTATTACAAAGGGGTCGGGCGATGGCATCTTTAATCCCATCCTCCATCACTTAGTCTGATAAAAATTACTACAGCCAGAGAGATGGAAAATAAATAAAAATATCAAATGCTAGGCCATATCTTTTAAAATTAATCTTTATATAAGGTATTGTTTGAGATAAAAAAAAAGTCAGTGTCAAGAGCGGGATTCGAACCCACACCTTAGGCTAGCCGGCTTAGAACCCAACCTCCTTCAAAAATGAGTTTCTTCGATGGAAGAACACCGGCACACCGGCTCAAATTCACACTTGTGTTGCGAGCCCCCAAAAATGGAGCCAGGGATAAAATACATTAAGTTGTACAGCTGCAGTGCTCAGGAGGGAACTCCTCCAGTTTCTGGTATCCATTGTAAACAAAAAAAAAATATATTGTACCGTAACTGAATTTTTCTCGCCTAGATATATGACTTAGCTGTCTAAGTACTTCGTTCCCCGTCGACCGATCAAGATTGGTACCTTAAACGACTCGTCCAGGCAGCACCTTTGTTAACATTCTCGAGCTAGATTTAACCACGGCCATTTCCACCCTAAATGTATTCAGAAGTTACAACTGAATAATAAACTGACACATTTTCTCATTGTGCACATGTATTTTTCACTTATTACAAAGAGGTCGGGCGATGGCATCTTTAATCCCATCCTCCATCACTTAGTCTGATAAAAATTACTACAGCCAGAGAGATGGAAAATAAATAAAAATACGCAACAAATGCTAGGCAATATCTTTTAAAATTAATCTTTATTTAAGGTATTGGTTGAGATAAAAAAGTCAGTGTCAAGAGCGGGAGTCGAACCCACGACCTTCGGCTAGCCGGCTTAGACGAAGTTCATGGGATCGAATCTCGCTCGTGCCACTTGCATTTTCACTTCAACCAAGACTTTAGATTAAAAGTACAATTAATTAAAATAATTTGTACGGCCAATTATAACTACTAAATACATATATGGATTAATATAATATTGTAATTATATAAACTATTCCTTAAGAAGAAAACAAGAAAACTAATAAATTGCCGTAAATTGATAACCGACGGTTGAAAAATTCATACAGTGAAGAATTATTAGAAAATATAGAAAACTAATTCTGTTCACAGTTCAAAATAACTTGTTGACAGGTGCTTGTGCAATTTGCCACCCAAGTTTTGACCATTAATGAAGGTTATGTCGGTCGTTTGACCCGAGCGTGGGAAATGGCTATTTCCTTCGGTAAGTCACCTCGCACACCCCCCCTAATGTTTAATAAATCAGTGAGCAAGCATTGTCAAACTGTCACAACTGGATTTACAATCCATGAGCTGCGTGTTGAAAGTTCTTCACCTCAGGAGGAATGTGGGGAAGTCGTTACAAGGCACACGCTCCGAGAGCTCTTTATTTTCTCATCTCTCCCGACCTTACTTCATTCTTCACATCCCTAACCGTCGGCCGGTGACTTATGGCACCGCCAATAATGTTTCCTTAATAAGCCCACTCATGTTTTACGATTTCAAAAGTTATAGTTTAAAAAAAAACCTCGTTTATTTTCCTCATCTTAAAACTAATAAACAGACGAGTGAATTTATAATCTCTCCAGGCTCAGATAGAAAGAATACTTTTTTCAAGATTAAAGGTATTACATATTAACATTTCAATTTCGATGTGTATATCAAGATTTCTAATAAAAAATTATAACGTTTATGTCTACAAAAATATTAATTTAAAAAAAAAAATTGTACTTATATTAGCTGCGATAGCCAGAGATTGACTCCCCAATGAATGTTGTAAATATCTCCCTACCACATGGACACACTGTTGAATCTATTCAACGAAATTTTTTCTTCGGAAAACATAACAGACTCATGGAGCTTAGTTAAATTAAAACTTCTCTTTGAGAAACATAATAGTATTTTTATATATTGATTATCTTTGCCCAGTACCACCAATTCTTTTCTAGCTGTATCCAGTGATTTACCACAACGGTTAAGCCAGGAACACACTTACCCGATGCTACGCCATGCGACGCTACCCGACGCAAATCCAAACTCCGATTTTCCATAAGGTTGCATTACCCCCGTGCACATCTACCCGATGCTACCCGACGCAAATCCAAACTCCGATTTTCCATAAGGTTGCATTACCCCCGTGCACATCTACCCGATGCTATGCCACGCTAACCTACCCGACGCTCTGCGATACCCTCTGTCCAGATTTTCGTCGTGCCGCATGGAGGACAGTCGAAGACAAAAGAACCGGACACTCATATTTTTATTCAAACTACATGTATTATTGTCGTTATATTAATTACAACATATTTAATTTAATATAAACCAAATTAACTGTCATTAAAAATTAATTAGTTTTTATTTAAAAAAAATAATTTTAATGGTTTGGTAGAAAATTAATCAAAACACCGGAATACGATTTTTTGATATGATGAATTTAACTAACAATTTATTGGACCATTGGAAGAATTTATTACACGGTTTTGCTCATAAAATTTAATTAACATTTTATTTCATAGTTTTGCTCGTAAATTACACCATTTTCGTCGGGTAGCATCAGAACACAGGACACTCATATTTTTTGTAGTTTATTTCAAACTCAGTACAAGTAATTTTGTCGTTATATTAATTACAACATGTTATTTTAATGTAAACCAAATTCATAAGTTTTTATAAACATTGTTTAATTATGATGGTTAGGAGTAACTTTATTTAAAACAATTAAGTTTAACAAACAATTCATTAGATGGTTGTGCTCATAAAATTTAACTAACAATTTATTACAAAGTTTTGCTCAAAATAGTGCATTAAGAATAAAAGCGTTGCGATTGTGATAGTGATTATTGTGATAAACGCTGTGGACTGTACGCGACGTGTACTTGCGTCGGATAGATGTGCACACCCCACCAAAACGTGGCAAGGCGGCGGGTAGCATCGGGTAGCGTCGCATGGCGTAGCATCGGGTAAGTGTGTTCTTGGCTTAAGTTTTTTTACACCAAAATTAAATCCATGTTGGTCTGTAAATGTAATATATAGTTCGGTGTACCAGATGGCAATGTGAATAACTTTCTTACAAAAAAAGTTGCACTTTTTCTATTTTTCGAACTTACGTCAGCCATAACACAGGATTTCAATAGCCATAACACGTTTCAATCATCAGATTTAAAATAAAACGTACTGAATAAATTAAGTTCAAATATATTTTTAATAGTGCTAAATATGTGTGATTCTTAATCAGAATGGTACGGTTGTTGGGTCAGTCTTGTCCTTAAATAATAAAATAATACATAGATGGCGGACCAGAACGATTGAACACGATCAAATATAGGTTCATCACCCTTCATGGACAGACTCATCATCCTGACCTCAGCAGACCCACGTGAAAATCTCACAAATACGGGTTCTTCACATAGCAGATTCTATGTGGAACTCAACATGGCATTTTTTTTAAAATTAGCTTATTATAGTTTAACTAAGAATGTTAGTCTGTGGGACTTCAGGTGTGTTTTTATTCTGTAAGCGATATTGTATTTAATTAATTCTTTTTATTTATTTTTGTTTTGTCACGAGCCATTTCATTTGTCGCCGAGAATCGAATCATTGCATTAAGAATAAAAGCGTTGCGATTGTGATAGTGTTTATTGTGATAAACGCTGTGTACTTGCGTCGGATAGATGTGCACACCCCACCAAAACGTGGCAAGGCGGCGGGTAGCATCGGGTAGCGTGGCATCGGGTAAGTGTGTTCCCGGCTTAAAGGCGTTCCTAATTGCATGTAGCGATTCTTTATCAAAACCCAATAACTACACGGTTAGTGCAATATCAATAATATAACTAAATCGTTTGTAACAAACAAATCAAAATGAACTTTGGTACTCGTGGGAGACAAGAGTCCAGAAAGGCTGAAAGTCAGAATAACAGGGAACGTTTCGGCCTTTTTTTAGATCATCTTCAGGGCTCAAAGTTTTTTTTTTCTGTGTAGATGAGTCATTACTACGTGTCGTGTTGAGAGTGCCTTCAGGCGTGTTAAAACAATGAAACAAGTATAAATTTTAAAAAGGCAGCTTACCAAAGTTAGTTTTTGAATCTTTTCTCGGTTTCTATTTTCTCCTTAAAAATTAATTGACGATTCCCTTTTCGTACCATTATTGCCAAGAAAAAGTGAAACAATTTTTATGAACAATAAGATCTTTGTAATTCCTTTGTTCTCTCTCAGACTTCACCAGATGTCGTGAACCCTTGAAATACTCTGTTACTCAAGTAGGATATTTACAGTTTAGGGATGACATTTAGCTACTAACCTTCCGTCCCTGTTTAATAGAGAGATTTATCACTGACAACATTTATCTTAAATGAAGACAAACCTTCCTGATTGTTGTCTCCGATAGAAATAATTAGTGTAATGTAACAAATAACACGGAAAAAATATATATCTTCTTTATTTGTATAATTTAAATTAGAAATTTTCCCACCGCCCATTTGGGAGGGAAAGAAGCGAATGTCAAAAACCCGGTGTGTCCTGGCATTGTCTGTGAATAACTTGTTGATATCAAGGTATGTTGCTTATTATCCTCGGGCCGGTCGTCTTCCTGAAACAAAAACAAAAAAATTTTTAAAACTTTAATGTGAATCCAAATTTCTTTATATATNTGTGTGTGTGTGTGTGTGTGTGTGTGTGATCGACCTGCAGATAATCTATGTGGAGTTTCAATCTTCATGGAGGTCATTGTCTAATGAAGATTGAAACTCCACATGTAGGTTTCTATTTAGTTTTTTCTCCGTAGGAGGCCTCGCGAACTTATTGATGGTACGTCTGGAACTTGATTTCTACTCGTATTTACCCCCACGTGGTGGAAAAGGCTCAACAACTGATGCATACCCCACGCATTCAAACTTAGCCTAACTTTAGTTTGGTATGTTTCAGGTCCTCTATATTCCGCGGAAGGTCCTCACGCTAATAAATAAAGTCACATTTATACAGCTAAAAATTCGGGAGCTCCTGGGGTATGAATATTATGTCCGTGCCCCTCCCTTTTTCTCTAAACACACCTAACCTAAAACTTACCTAGTTTAGTGGTTCTGTGAGGTGCTCCACGACCCACATAATCAACACTCACGCTAATAAATACATTCATTCAATACACAAAACACGCAAAGAAAAATCCTAACCTAGTTTAGTGGGTCTTTGGAGTACTCAATATTCCGCCACAACTAACCCACACATACTCAATACTCACGTTAATAAATATAACCAGGTACGAAAACCACGTGTGGAAAACCATCAAATGCGGCCATATGCATTTATTCGCTTCAGGTATTCCAGTTTATGTACTGCAAAGCTAAGTCTTTCAGAGGATGGATTACTACGAGAAGGCCTGCCATTGGTCCAGAACTTCTGACATGGCACAGAACAGCTGTTAAATTTCGCAACGACTCTCATCAATTGGTCCCAGCAAGATTGTACTAAAATCTTGTTTCGGATAAGTCAATGTTTTGTTTGAGGTCTTCTGACGGCTGAGAGAGAGTTTGGAGAATAAATGGAGAGCAATATATCCCCGTAACATTTTCACTCCGGATAAGGTATGGAGATGGTGGTGTTATGGTTTGGTTAGACATTCCTATGGAAGGTCGCAGAAACTTGAACTTCATCGAGGGTTCCATAACACTGAAGATGTGTTATTAGAAGAAGATCCTTATACTCAACTTGGCGATTGTTTTATTTTTATGCATGACAATGCAAGGCCCACATATATCCTGGATCGTTCATCGTTAGTGACTACCTGGAACGGGCTTCAATTCAATGTTAGGAGTGGCCAGCATGAAGTCCCGATTTAAACCCTATCAAACACCTTAGGGGCAAGGTTTTTCTAAGGGCTAGGGGGGTTGATGCAGAAAACGGTTTTTCCCTACGGTGGAACCCCTATGGCTTGTAGCCATACCTTCAAAAGTGGGCTATCGTTATAAAACTGAGCACTTTCCTTGATGCCTCTTCGTGGATCTCCCTTGGCGTGAGAACTGCCCTGCCGAAGTGGCTGTATCGTAAACGGGCTGACGATTTACATTCACAAAGGAAATGTGCCGATGTCACTGGTTCCTCCTCACAGAGCCGCCTCAGCTTTGTCCATCTTCTTAAGATAACATTTAAGAGGACAATGTTGAAACGAGTAAACAAGGTATAAAGTCGCCCAGTGATGCCAGAGAATTTTCAGGAATTAAGAATGGCGCTGTTGGAGTAGTATGAATATATTCCATATCATTACGTGCAAGACCTCATAAAATTGATGTCGAATGCAAGCGGTGATCAATGGATGAGGAAGAAATACTCCCTACTGAATTGAATATTTTCATCATTGTTTCCACAGCAATATGTCCGGTAAAATTTTCTTTTTTATTAAGCTATATGTATTGTTCTATAAACACATCCAGTAATGTTTTTTAAGTTATGACGATAGAAAGTATTTTCTAAAAAGATGATCTTCGTGAGTAGACGTACGACTCTCATACGAAAATAAATGGGGACATCGAAAATCCGATTATAACTGCACACTCCTAATTTAAAACTAAATTAACGTGGATCTATGTTGAACAGGACATATTTATGCGACGCATTTACATACAACGCATTCCACTCGAGAAAACTTACGAACCGGCAAATCAATAACAATTCACTTTTCATCGTCACTTCATTAAAAACACCAAAAATTTTTTTAAAAAACATGCTGGCGACCGCAATATCCGATTAGGCCATTAATGAATGAGTCACCAATGCTACTGTACGTCACTAATCAAAGTGCATAAAGATGTATCCTTTGTTAAAAAAAAAGCGTCCAATCACGATTTCCACACAAAACTTGCGATTTATTCCAATACTTTGGGCTGGATCAAAACCATAAATTCACTGTCTGTCTGTTTGTCTATGTATGTGTTGTATGTGCACACACCCACATTCACAAAAAACGACACAAAATGCATTATGGAAAAGATGAAATAGTGTAAAAATAAAGTAAAACAAAAATAGAATAGTGGTTATTTTCGTCGCCTATCGCGGAAGCATATTTATAAATTAATATTATCAATGCTCCTTTTTATATTTTAAATTTCACTACCAATAACGACCTACACATACCGTTTGTACATGACCTCATCCAATCCTACCAGAAATTCCATCAAGACGAATGAACCAAAAGTGGCCCCGAGACCTCCTCAGTGAGTGAAGATTGAAAAGTTTCATTGTGATCTCTCTCTCTCTCTCTCTCTCTCTCTCTCTCTCTCTCTCTCTCTCTCTCTCTCTCTCTCTNACCACTAGTGGCCCCGAGACCTCCTCAGTGAGTGAAGATTGAAAAGTTTCATTGTGATCTCTCTCTCTCTCTCTCTCTCTCTCTCTCTCTCTCTCTCTCTCTGTGTGTGTGTGTGTGTGTCATTGGGCAATGTTTACTACAACAGATTTAAATGACAAATTCAACACATATGAAAATATTCACTTAACACAATATCTATAGTTATAAATACCAAGTAAATTATAATAAAAAAACCGTTCAGCATAATCCTTTATATATTATATGTGCCTAAAAAATTTCAAATCGTCTCGGATTGTCGAGTACAATGTAAATTAGTCGAATTTCATTAGTTTAGGTCCGTTAAATATGGCAGTATTCTATCATTATACCTTTCTCGACTCATCCTTGAAAGATTGCAAAAGGGAGACCTTTAGTCGGCACCCTGTAATTTTCTCGTGGCTTAGAGGAGCGTATTTCAAACGCATCCCGCTTTCCCTTCTCAATCCGTAAAATTGGACCAACAACCGCAAACATGGTTATCAACACTGACGAAACTTTGCAGGACTTCGGGATAGTCAACCATCTCCCGTAGGTGATCGATGATGATTGGTTTAAATAAAATATCATCGGTGAAATAAAAGATAAATCGAAGGATTGCAACAGCAGACATTGTGTTTTCCACATGACATGCTTAAGCTATGAACCAAATGCCTCTTTAAAGAAAGTTTTTCGGTTAATTATATCAAGTCGCGGCCGTTGAAGTCCAGACTTTTCACAATACTGAGTGGCGATATGGAAAGCTTTAATCATTCCCTGGTTCATCATACAGAAGTAAGATGGTTGTTTCGTGGGAAAGCACTTTCACGATTACACGAATTACGTTCTGAACTCTTATCTCTGTTGATGGAGCCCAATGTCAAATTGGCCAACGTTTTCAATGATGAGAAATGGAAATGCATACTGTCGTATTTATCAGAAAGTTTTATGAAAATGAATGAGATGAGTCTTTTTTTGCAAGGGAAGAGTATCACAACTTTCGATGCTAACGACAAAGTTCGCGCCTTCAAAAGAAAAATCCAGTTTTGGATTGCATCTGTTGAGAAGGAAGAGGTGAAATGAATTCCTGTGTTAAATGATTTTTTTTTTTTTAAGAAAACAAACTGGAGCTTGTTTAGCCCGTTGATAGATTGTTATCACGATCTTTGCATGGATCCCTTTAACACTAAGCAACTCGTGTCACTCACGAGTGTGAAAAAATATCCGTGCCACAAACTCAAACAAATTAATTACAGAAAACAAAAATCGAGACATGACCCAAATAAATTAAAACAATAATCTTAAGATTAAGAAAATGAAATAACATAAAGAGATCTGTGACGATGAGTGAGAGTGAGAGTGAGAGTGAGAGTGAGAGTGAGAGTGAGAGAGAGAGAGAGAGAGAGTGAGAGAGAGAGAGAGAGAGAGTGAGACAGAAAGAGAGTGAGAGTGAGAGAGAGAGTGAGAGAGTGAGACAGAGAGAGAGAGAGAGTGAGACAGAGAGAGAGAGAGAGAGAGAGAGAGAGAGAGAGAGAGAGAGAGAGAGAGAGAGAGAGAGGGAGTTGGAGGTCCTTCCTCGCCCTTTTCTGTCTCAGCTCCCACTAGCTGCCGAGCCTGCAATTGAGGATTAGCTTATCCTAACCTAAAGGATAATCCTTGTTGAACATCTTCAAAGTTTGGATGTCCACTACTTTCCATTGGAGATACAATACTGCAAGGCCATGAATGGGTTTTCAGTTTCGACAAAGCCACCCAGTCTTCTTCAAGTGAATACGACTGTTTGATAGACATTACTTCAGACTCCACCTTGAAATATACTTTCGAGTCCTATACTTATCCCCGTTTTTGGATCTGTCTGGAAAACGAAAAATTTCAAACTTCTGTGTGTTCTTCTTCCATTTGCTACAACTTATCTGTGCTAATCCGGATTTTCTATCTAAGCAACCGCCAAAACTAACTACCGAGATGTCTAGAGCTAAACCCTACACCCGGTTTACCGTCACATACCGGATGTCCAGCTACCGAAAATTAAAACCAACATATCCAAATTGTGCAAACTAAAAAAACCTCACTCTTCCAATTAATTGATTAATCATTCATGTTCAAATTATTACATTTGAAATTGGCTCAAGTTTTACATAACTTTGATTCCGTACTCCAATTTGGCTTTTGTGTTCCGGATGTTGAATATAAAATTAAGTATGTCGATCAAATGTTTGTTTTCATAGTGATATCCCCTTCCATCACCTAATTAGGAATGGACTGGTTAATTTATA